AATTTTAAACGGGGAGAGGAATGTGGAAGCGCTGAAGGGCGCCGGTGCCGAGCGGGAGGTGCTCCGGGTTACTGGCAGAGGTGTGCTAGCTGCTGGGGTAGCGCGGAGACGGGGCAGGGGGCTGTTAAAAACGCGTCGTGGGCTTTATTCTTTTTTCTTTCTTCTTCTTTGTATTTAAAGGCCTCTGGGTCAGGCATGAAGTATATGCGTGGTAGTCTTTACACGTTACCATGGCAGTGAGTGAAAGCATAGCTGTATGAATTAAAGCACTAAATGTCTCCTGTAGTTATTTTCAAGTAACTAACTTCCTTCTCCGGCTGTGCAAAAAAACTTTGCAGAGTAGAATATAGTCTTAAAACATGATTTATAAAACCTGAAAGCTGTATAGCTATAGCACATACTGGCTCAATAAGAAATTGAAAAGGTTTTGTGTGGGGTTTTTTAGTTTATATTTGCTGTCATTGACCCCATAGTAGCACGATGTCTTCAGTGATTTGTAAGTATGTGAAAAAAAATCAGGTTCAGTCACCCTGCTTTGGAAGTTACCATCTCGCTAAGTAGCTTGGAGGCTTTTGATCAGCTCCTCAATACAGTCTGAGTAGACAGATCAGTCCTATTAGAAGTAGTACATCTGTTTTTTGTACAGGATCCGGATCTAAATGTTTTACAGAATACACTCAAAAATGCAAAGACTGGTAGTTCTCACAGGCTTTCATAACTCAACCTTAGAAGTGTATTGTGTGGGCTTAAGGAAAATTTCTGTCCTGAAATAACAGTACTTGATTATCTCATAATGAAAAAAGGGGGGTGTTTTTGTAGTTTTCAAAGATTTTTTAATACCTTTTGTTTTCTTTATTATTTGTAATCTTATGAGATGTTAAGTGTTTGCAGTGTATTTTTCTTTCCTGTTAATTATATACCATGTGACATTCCATAACAATATTTAGAAACCAGCTAACACAGTGTTTTTAAAAACTTGTATTGATGTAGACTGGCAGGAACCAAATGGTAGCATAAAAAAGACGTCTCCCTTTTTTTGCTAGGTGTATTCTTGTTAAACCCCCCTGAAGCTGAATATCACGCATGTCTTTTGAGAAGGTTTGGATGCTTTTTGTTAGCCTCCCTTGTGCATCAGAGAAAACAATCATCCTGGACTTCAAGAAATTAAACCATGTATTTGCATGCTTTATTTATATTCTTAACTCATTTTATGTGCTTGAGGTAGAACAACAACAAAAGTAGTACATTATGCCCTGTATGCATACAACTAAAATCAGGTTGAATGATTGAAGTAGTTAAAGGGATTAGAGTGACGTGATTTCTGTTGAAAGTAAATCTTGACATGAGGGTTTGATTTAAAAACAACCTGGAATTGCTGCAGTGGCAGAAATGATGTGTTATTGATTAGCTGCCTTGCTTTGTTCTGGCAGACTGTGGTGGTGTTAAATGTGGAAGATTGCTGAATTTAACATGGCCGTGTTCACTGGAGGCCGCAAGGCGGCATAGCTCCTCACGTGTTGCAAGCAGATCTCGGAGCACAGGTCGCTGGCTCGCCTAGTGATGAGTTATTCAAAGGAGGGTTTTATTTTATATATATCATAGTATATGGTAGTTTCAAATTCGGGATGAAAGAAATACCAAACGTTCAGGATTTTGTTTGATTTTTATCTTCTACTGTTGAGGGAGAGAAAAGTGGAGAAATAAGCATGAGGCAAACTTTGTATAGTAAGACAGCGCAGGAATAGATTGGTATTGTGAGGGGGAAAAGCAGAGTATGTGTTAGAGTCCGTGTACAGAAGTGGCAAGGTGTGAAAACCAGAAGAATAATGAAAAAAAGAAAGATGGAAAGGAAGAAAATGAAATCCAATAATGGAGTAGCGTGGAGAACAGAGCTGTATAAGTAAAGTTAAAGAAGAGGCAAAGAAGTATACTATCTAATGTTGGTCTGTTTTCAGCTGGTGTTCAGTGTAGGTAGTGCCTGTCACACAATAGCAAAATTAAAATAGTAAAAATATACACACTGGTGTGTTTCTGCAATCACAGTGTTATAAATGTTGAAATGTTTGTTGGAAGGGACCTCTGGAGGTCATGCATGCTGACTCCCTGCTCGGAGGGTGACTTCCACCTTTATTGGATTGAATCAGTAAGACAGAATGTTGTCTGGATGTTGAAAGTCTCCAAGAATAGAGATTCTGCAACTTCGAGGCAATCAGTGCTTCAGTACCCTCTGTGATTTTTGTCCTGAAGTCCAACTTGAATTTCCCAAGCCAGAACCTGTGGCTGTTATATCATCTTGGAATATTAAAGAGAGTTTAAGTTCTGTCATCGTTGTAAATATTCCTCAAGTTGTTTTAATCTACTTCCATTTGAACAGAAACATTTTCGTGTGGATTCTACCCCTTCAGATCAGGAAGTAATTCCTTCGAGAAGTGTGGTTTTTCTTTGTTTTTAAATAAAGCTTGTATTGTGCCTATGTAAGGGACATTTGAGACTGGAAAGGAATGAATCACCCCCAACTAAGGTTTTGGTTTTTTATTTATGTTCAGGCTATTAGCAATGAAAATGTACAGTCCAAAGAAGGTATTTAGTAATAAACCAGCTGTGAACAGGAGTCACAACACACTTAGAAGGCTTGATTGCAAGTGTTCTTTTCTCATAAAAGTAGAACTGATAATGACTAAATATTTATTTTCTGAACCTCACGTTCATAATTGACATACTGCATGTTATATTCTGAAAGTGTTTTACTTTGCTTGGTCTTCACAGCTAAAATCTTCGTGCTGACAACAAAGAACTTAGAACAATGGGAGTGACTAATCTGTGGCAAATCCTTGAGCCTGTGAGACAACCTGTCAGCTTGAGCAGTCTCAAAGGAAAAACACTTGCTGTTGACTTAAGTTTGTGGGTTTGTGAAGCACAGACTGTTAAAAAGATGATTGGAGTGGTTACCAAGCCACATCTGAGGTATCGTATCCATAGAAATTGTTGTAGCCAAAAGTCTTGGAGCTGTTTATTTTAGGTATGATACTTATTCTAAATTTAAGACTTCCTGCGAGATTCTTATGACTGTTGTTTTGATTCTGTTGTCATCACTTGCGCTACATGCGTAAAGGGTTTGAAGTGAAGACTCAGTCGTACTGGCTGATTTCAACTTAATGCTTGGGTCCAAATAGAAGTTCTTGGGCCCAGCCTACTTTGTCTCGAGGCCTCAACTGCAGGTAAGGATGAGATGGATGTAAGCAGAACCATGTTTGTCTTAATGTGATACAGCACTGTGTGATACACAGATCATCAAGGAACACAAATCAATGTGCTAATTTGTATATGTTTCTGAGGCTGTGTGATGGAATGTGGTATGAGATTTTTCAACTCTTTATCACAGCAGTTTAGATGCTGTTCAGTTCAGAGCATACTGAGAGTCATGCATGCTCTAGCCTGGTCTACCTTACAAATTAAAATTCTAGTTAGACCCCATAATGAATTAAATATGTTGAAATCATTCTTCAGGCTTATGAACAGTCTTGAAGTATTTTTTAACTTAAGCGAATCGCATATTTGAGGGATGAGCAAGTAGAAGCAGCTGTAACTTCCAAGCACTGGTTTCTGCAAGTGATGCTGACAAAAATGAAAATATATACAGATTTTAATAAATGACCCATTCTTGGTTAGCTCAGGAACACTGAGTTACTAGCTGCTGTTAGACGTTCCTGTGGCTTCTCTTGAGTTCAGCTAATATGAAATACCAGCATCTTCTGAGAATAATTTCTAAAAATGTTATGCTTATGACCCCAAATGGATAATTAACTAAAACTTGAAGCATGACCAAAATCATTACTTTTCTCTGGTAGGATGTCCTGTGTGCAGTGGAATGGAAACATCAGTCCAGATCTCTTACGCAGTCTTTCCAAAGCAAGACAAAGAGCTGAACAGACTTCTACCAAAAAAAAAATGTTTTCAGGCAGTGGGAAATTAAATTCTTTTGCTAAGTGTTTTAGCTAAACTTATTGTAAGTGATTGATTTTTATATCATTTGTGAAAATAGAACTAGCCTTAAAAGATGAGCTTATCCGTTTTTTACCAGTAGCAAGTGTACGAAATTGAATCTAGAGTAATGGTCTTTTCATGTCAATCAAAGAGATACAAAAGTTTGGTCTACTCTTTTTGAAAGATTGATCCTGGAATTACTGGAAAAAGCATATGCTGTCTCGTATTACTGCTCTCAATTTTACTATTATAGGCTAATTAATTATTACTGCTCCCTTGCAAATACCACGCGTCAGTGATGCTGGTTTGCATATGAAATAAATTGGCATGGTAATGGTATCTGAGTCTGTCTAATACCATAGCATTCAGTCACTTCAGAATCTGATGTACCTGTATTGATAGATTTGGGATTAAAATTTGATATAAAAGAATCAATGTGGATTTGTGTTTGGAAGCAGACTTTGGATATTGAATGGCTTTTTATTAAGCCTTTTATATTTGCTTAAGTCTTTACACCTAAAAAAGATCTTTCTTGTGCTTACGTGATATTTTCTTGCAAATTTTGTAAAGCTGTTACAAGTGTATAGTAAAACAACTACAACCAAAGACAGGGATATAGATAAAAGGTTTGTTAGCTTGGGGGTAAGGGAGTTGTAAAAGGTAAGTGGAAAGCTAAGATTGTTCCTTGGGTGGGCAGAGAGATATAAGGAAAACATCTGAAGAAATCAGGTTTTGCAAATTCTGCAGCTTATGGAACACCTTGCTTTGTTGCAGAAATCTATTTTTCCGGTTCTCTTTCTTAACATCAATGGGAATTAAACTAGTGTTTGTCATGGAAGGAGAGGCTCCCAAGTTGAAAGCAGACACCATGAGTAAAAGGAACGAGATGCGCTATGGACCTGCGAAGAAAGTTGGAGCTTCAAGAACAGGGAGATCTTTATTTAAAGCCATTTTAAAAGAAGTGAGTAACTGGGGGCTGTTTTTCAATATTTTTAACGTGATAGGAAGAAATCTTAACCAAATTAAATACAAGAACTCGTAAGAATTAATAGTTTTCTACACAACAAATTTCAACAGTGTTTTAAGGAAATGTATGCCTTTGAGATTGGGCCTTACAGCCTGTGTTAGCTGTTGTTGAAGAAGAGGGACAATGTTAGGTAGAATAATTTTCTTGTTTGATGTGTTCCTGTGTATGTTATGCTGTGGTGAATCACAGTCGTAGTTGAGTGTTTATTACAGAAATAATAGTGTTAGTATTGATGCTTTTTTTTTTCCCTACCCTGAAACCAGGAATGTGTTGTGTACCTATGTAAGCTAAGCTAGTGTGTTTTTGAAGGGCTACGCAGAACTCTTTTGTAACCTAGAGCTATGACTTGGTAAATAGCTGTACAGCTAAGAAGATGCACTTGTTGGAAACCTGCTGGATTAGACTAAGGGGAAGATTGTGTAGTCTTCTTGGTATAGATGATTGAGACAGCTCTGGCTGCAAAGACCTCCTGTTCAGTAGTTTGTTTTTCATTCATTGTTGCAGATATGTAACCATTTTTGTCTATTCAGAATTTTCTGAAATTGAATTTATGGATACTCCTGGCTTCAGTAGGATGAATGTGTCAATTCAAGTTTTTATTCTTAAACTCTAAAATGAATACTCTTCTCTGAAATTTGGAAGTAGTATGTATGAGTGTATATCAGTATGTCTTATACTGGGGTCAGGTCTCGCTAGGCCAACAGTGCAGTACTTTCGTAATTTATATGCTTGGAGAGTCTGGCATCTGTTGAAAGATGTCTGTGCTAGCCCAGTACTACTACTTGAGTGAACAGTGTTGCTTTATAAAGATAAATATTCCTTTGTTACTCTTCTGAAAACATCCTAAGTATCTTTTTAAAGTGTAAAGAATTTTGTGAAGGAGTAACCATTAATCATGCTGTGTTCAAGTCCTGTAACTAATACTTTGCTTTTAGTTGGATATTTCTTTTCACTGTTACGGTAAACTATTTCTCCTAAAGTAGTACTTGTATGAATGTAATGGTGCATAGGCAGTGCAACAGTGGCAGTTTTTGTATACACTTGTGCCTGAGAAAACGCATGCTGATAAGTGGGTCTGATTCAGCATTCAATCTCTCTTACTCTTTGGATTCCTTTGTTTAGTGTCTTGAACTGCTGGAGTGTTTAGGTGTGCCTTGGGTTCAAGCAGCGGGGGAAGCAGAGGCAATGTGTGCCCACCTGAATGCAAAAGGGTATGTGGATGGCTGCATCACCAATGATGGAGATGTCTTCTTATACGGAGCTCAAACAGTTTATAGAAACTTTGCCATGAATGCTAAGGTAATGTATCTCGCCCCATTCTCTCTTTAGAATCTTCCCAAAAATGTAAATAGAAAGAAGGGACTTGAAATGATTATTTAGGTATTATTGCACTTACCTTCTTGTAGTTGGGTTTGTTTAAAATTGTACATTTAAGATTGGAACATTTTATTTGATTCACTGTCAATCTGTATCACAGAATCACAGAATGGCAGGGGTTGGAAGGGACATCTGTGGGTCATCTAGTCCAGCCCTCCTGCCCAAGCAGGGTCACCTACAGCAGGCTGCACAGGACCTTGTCCAGGCGGGTCTTGAATATCTCCAGAGAAGGAGACTCCACAACCTCCCTGGGCAGCTTGTTCCAGTGCTCCGTCACCCTCAGAGGGAAGAAGTTCCTCCTCATGTTCAGACAGAACTTCCTATGCTTCAGTTTGTGCCCATTGCCCCTTGTCCTGTCACTGGGCACTACTGAAAAGAGCTTGGCCCCATCCTCCTGACACACACCCTTCAGATATTTGTAAGCATTTATAAGGTCCCCTCGCAGCCTTCTCTTCTTCAGGCTGA